TGAGGGATTGAATATGTTCAGGTATGAACTTTGGTGCAGTCGGGACGATAGGCAACAATCGATCGATAATGATCGAAATTATTGGATATTGCAGGGACAACCGAGAACACTTGGTCAGATGAGGTTATTCGAACTATGAGAAAGCCCCTTCGGTGGTCGAAGAAGCAGTACCAGTACAGTCCTCATTCTGTACTCAGAGAGTCGCTCCAGTGGACACTTACGCTCTATGACCACAAGCTAGTCATTCCGTCCGTTCATGACCTTCATGAAGGCACCTGAACCTGTATTTGTCGCAGCACTGATGCTTGAGTTGCCAAGTTTCCCACTCAGTAACCGCTCAGCACAACAGACTTTCGAAAGTCGCATACGCGATGGACTCAGCTGATCTTCGATCCATCGACATGACAGTATCCCAGATCTTCATTTGTTGACATATTCTGGAGCTTGGGATCCCCTTCTGCACTTGTGTGTATCGTGTAACATCAAGCACTGTCCTCTTCCCAAAATGTTGGATGACGTTATCGCTTTCTTTCTCTGCTGGGAGTCCAAGTCTTTGAGGCGTAAATTAAAGCAGAGGCAGCTGATTCGAAAAAAATGAATGATGTTGCAAATTTTTTTCCAGTTCAGTACTCTTTCCTCCTCCCCCCTCCCTCCCCTTGAAATGGGAAACAGGTGACGGACATGACTTTCCAAAAGCAAGCGTAGGGTTCACTGGTGTTAAAGGTGGTGGAGCTTTGAGGAGTTAGTCTTGCTGCTGTTCTGCTGCTGAGACTTCTTTGTATCGCTCCTCTGCATAAGTTCTCGAAGCCAGGGCGGAGTTCATGGAAGTATTGAGAAGTGTTGACTTCTTCAAACTTCTTCCACACCGACATGCTGAGAGTTCCCGAAGGGGAGAGTCTACTCTTTCTTCGCGAGTTCTCTACTATTCAAGTTTCACCTCGAATAGGTTCGACAAGCTAGGTGCTTTCCTAGTCATTAATTGTGCTGAAATACTCCGACGAGAAAACATCATCTCACCATCCTTGAATGATGTGTAAGTGGGGTCACAGAAACTGGGCTTTTAAAGGGGAATAGGGGCTATTAGCAGGATTATAGCTTTTCAAGTCACGCACGCAGCACCGTGCGTGGCTAGAGTTGGTATAAACGGACTTCAAGCTACATAATAGGTCGGACCGCAGGCAGCGATGCCTATGCAGCTCATAGCGTCGCATAGGGATATAGGGTATCTCCGGCAGTAGAGACATCCTTATAGTCAATTTGTAACATGCCCTGGTTTTTGATGGTGCCTGATGCCCTCTGGGGTAGTAATGTAGTTTGGGGGCTGCAGGATATCAAATATTAACAAGCCCTCTTCTTTCTCGAATGGCATCCGACGTCTAATTAAGTGTCTACGGACATTGATAGATTCTGTTGTTCTTGCTGAGTACAAATTTCACAAGTCGTTTGACTGATTAAACCTTGTAGATGTCTAGACACTACCGTGTCCTTGTCGTTTTACTGAAGGAATCACACTGCAGGGCTAGCACAGTCTTCAAGGTTAGGGCGTAGATTGAGATGGTCAAAGCAAGCTTTTCCAGCTGTAAACAATTGCTGTCCGAATCCTTGCAAAATAGTAGCTCCTTGCTAGTGATTTAGACTTCTGGAACTAACGGTTGGGCAATTGTCCCAGATGGGGCTACCTAAAGCAGAGTATGCAAAGCAGCGAATTGGTGAAAAACTTTGAGGCAGCAGAAACAGAAGAGTTCAGAAGGTCGTCAGTTGGAGCCTTTTCTCAAGATAAAAATGAGTATCCAAGATTTGGAAAAGGGGTTATTGAGGGTGCAAGTGAAACAGTACCAAGCGTCACATTGCAACACCTATTGCAAAAGTATGAACCGGTACCCGGACTGGTCAACCATCTGGGTCGGTGAATCGTTCCACAAACTCAGTTGGTCATAGTATGGACCAGTAATGTTCTCGAGTACTCCAAAAATGAGTTACCAGAAAGCCAGAGGAAATGCCATCCTTTTTTGGTCTTTCATCATGAGTAGCTAAGAATCATTTCTACTTTACGAAAACTATACATTGCTTTTCGAGAAAGTTTTTCAAACCCTGATGTATTCTTCGCTTTCAACCACAACGTAACCTCAAATCCACAAGAAAAACTGGCAAACGATTGAAGTGAGACTGCATCTTTCGTCAGGAACAAAGTCAAGAAGAAGTATTCTAATTCCATCCAGAACAAGCCGTCAATTAGTAGTGACGTCTTTTTTCCCCGGCAGCGAAAGAGCAGGGTATTGTGACGCAGTGATAGAGGAGCGTCATGAAACGCTTTCAGGACTTCGTTGTCAAGGGTTTCTTTTAGAAAAAAAAACCCATTCTCAAAACTCAACGCATTTTTCAATGTGGTTTCCCCACCAAACCTACTGAATCGCGTACTCAGGAAAAATTATATAATATTGGAAAGGGCATGATAGAGGAATTACTGGTTGGGGGAAAAGATTGTCAACGCTCCGTACAAATATTCGGCACTATTTACCCTTTACTGGAGCACTATTTACTGGAGCAGGTCATGCATTTAGTGCCAATGCAGAATTTAAGAGGAGTATATGGCTTAATCCGTGGAATGGTTACGCTAAATTATATACATAGAAACGTATTTATTGCCTCAACCGATCAGCAACTGAAGAGAATCACTCGAGAAATGAGAAACTCAGTAAACCCACTACTCGCCACCCGGGTTCTGGCATCCATTCAAGTATGCCACATAGGCCCAGTCTCGTCCGTCCGATGTCCACGACTGTCACTCAGTCAGCATCGATAAAAAAGTCGTGAGTACAGGGAAGAAGGCACACAAGTGTTAGAACTTCTGACCGACACTCTACGCATCTTCTACATCAAAATGTGGATTTACTCAGACTCAGAAAGAGCACTTCGAGAAGCTTTGAGGGATGGCAGTTAAATTCTTTGAAATAAGGAAGTCGTCCAGGTGCTATCCAGGGTTCTGGACAGTCCAAAAACCTTCATTATTCTTCATGACCGGTTCATTTCCCTAATTAAGAAGGTATCTCGCATGGAATAGGAACTGGCTTACTCCTTATAACCTGACAGTGAGATCTCCCACTTTTTAGAAAAAGATGGACCTATGGATGGCGCAAGATTCGCAGAAGCTCTCTTTCTCTGTGTGCCCAATTTTTATGATTCTGAGTAACACTCGCCTAGAAGGCGTCTTCTTTCCTGTCTGCAACGACAACGGCAAACAAATGAAATCTTCTTGCAAATGAAAGAGCCGAAGAGGAAAACTGGTTGAGGACTACACAAGTACGCGCATCAAGCAGTGTTCCGCTACCGTTTTCTCTTAGATGGAGCAAACAGACAGAATCCGGTCAACTCCGGGAGCGAGCTATACACTTGGGCATGATTCAGGGAACCCACAATGGCTCCCTTAGCGTAACCGAGATCCTCTGTGGGATTTAAGGCCTAGAAATAGATTTGAAACTCCTAAGGGGGAGATGATCGATAGACTCAGTCCGGGTTTTCAGTGAATTTGGGAAAAATGCTGCACCTGAGAGCAGAACTTATGGGAAGTGAGTATCAAAATCGTAGGAACGGAAGTTCAAGTAGTTGAGAATTCAGTTCCTCAGAAAATGACAAATGACGCCAGAATGTTGCATAGCGAATTCTGTGAGTTGTGAGAAAAGCATACGTCATTGTGGACATGTCCCTTTGTTGGTATATAAGTTTAAATTCTTGATAAAAGCGCTAACAGAGCTAATGAGGCTTGCTGTAGCAAGACTTCCGCTTTTCCAGTTAGTGCAAGTGGCTCCCCCTCCCCAGACAAACCCTCCATCCATCTATGCTGGTGCACTTTTCGCTTACGAAAACTTGTCTGTGTTGGAATTTTGAATAGAAAAGGGATGTTGAGCGGTTCTTCGAGAAAAGCTCTTCTATCCCAGGCTAAAGAGAATGAGAGATTGGGATAACACGGATATACACTTTGCACTCCCACTCAATTCTAATGACGGCTTTGAAAGAGAACAAAACTCCCGAGCGATTCTTGGAGGGGTTATTCTTTTAGAAAACTTCAACTGCAGTGCGGTATTTGCCCATAAGAGCATTCCCAATCTTCTTCATGTTCTTGACTTTCTTGCGTATCTCACTTGGACCTGCAGGGCAAAAGGCAGGGAAAGAACCGAAACGCTGATCCACCTTCTTGGCGAACAGATAGACGACCTGGAAGAGGAGTAAAGGCCCTTAGTGGAAAAAGTGTAAGAATGACGCAGCTTACTGTGTCACCAGCCCAGGGAGCATACTTAAGGAAGTAGTAGAATCCTAAGTAGTAATTGGGTGGGTGAGAGGAAAAGGGTAGGAACGAGTAGCAAGAATTCCTATTAAACAAGCATTCAGAGAGGAACTAGTAGAACGGAAAAGCGATTCCAATTTCTTTCCCGAAACGCTTCACTCTTGGCCAGCCCTTCAAATCCTAGAACCACTAGAGCAAGGAGTCATGGACCCAAGGTAGTCTCGAGGCCAACTGTTGTTTTCATCCAACCGGGATCTTCTACCACCTCAAAGGTATGAGCAGCTTAGCTGATGCACGAGGAATGATTCAGGATTCGATCCCTGAGTCATGAGTGTTGCACCGCCGCCGTTTCCTGTGACACCTTGCTGAGCATGAAAACCCTTGGGATAGTTCTCAGGACAGTGTAAAGAGGAACAGTTCCAAGATTCAAAACACAATCACGGCAAAGGAAAACGAAATATCCAGTAAGACAAAAATAAATAAAAACAGAATCCAAAAAAGGTAGAATTCTTGTTGCGACTCAATGGTGGCCTGCTCAGATCAGAAACATGAATCAACTAAAAAGCTGCTTCCTGACTTGTTTATCTATTCTGGGTGTAGTAGATAGTTGAAATTGAGCCGACGTTTCAGCTACTATGTAGGATGGTAATGACACTAATAGCATGAAAAACAACGAATCCGTATAATTTGCATTACTGACGAGAATTCGGACGGCCCAATGAAATCTAGCTGGATTACTCAAGCTAGGATTTTGTTCATGGATAACGTTCGAGAGCGTCAATGGCCACCAACCGAAAAAAAAGGTTTGAACAAGAGTGCATTTGTATGAAAACCAACGCACACACAGGCCATTCCCGATGAATTTCCTGCTGCTGCTGGTGCTGCTTTGCTCCATCCGCCTCTTCCTTTTTAGTATCTCCCACGCAATACCAGGGGAATTCTAACTAATACATATGTTTCGAGAAATTCCTACGAAATTTCTGATTTTGCAGAGGCGGGGCAGTTCCTCCAAGTGGCAACATTCCTACAAGCATGGTCGAATTTTACATGGAATTATGCCTAGCAAAGTCAGCTAACCATTCATTCCCTGTGAGAACCGTAAATGGGGCAAACTGGGCTGGGATTGGATGAAATTGGTACTTCTTTATGGGAGGTCCGCAAGTATCCGGAAGGGAACAAGTCGTGCAGTCAGTATGAACTCGGGCCCAGCAGAGCTACCCGCGATTGCTGAGCAGGCAGACGACATTCGCTTCTATCCTAAAGGAAGGCGGCTGCTTCCTAAAAATGGGTTGGTCAACAGGGGGTATACCTTTATCGCCCTCTATTTTGAAGTCTCCTACAAGCCACCCACAGGATGGGAGGCCCTGACTCTACAAATAGAAAGATTAAAATGGTATAGTGCCGTACGCTTTTTTTCTGAAACGCTGATTATTCTAAATTTGATTGGTATGCTGTGCTCGAAAAAGGGCACGGTCTACAACCAGCTCTGGGTAGATCCCTTAAAACAGACCTAATACAGACCTAATTGGGTTAGGGTTGGATGAACTGGATTAATTGGATTTAGTACCCCAATTAATCCAGTTCATCTAACCCTAACCCTTCTATTCTCAAGCTCAGGAGTGTTGGTTCATGGCGGTGCGCTACACTACTACAACCCAACTGATTACCGTAATCAATTATTAATATCCGTAATGGATAGCTTCATGCGCGTAAGCAAGAACTGGCCCTCAAATGTTTGGTCTCTTAAATACCACTACAATCACTAGCGTAAGCTTACGCATATCAGATTACGGCAGACGTTATTGAATGAGAATCGTCTGATGTAGCCATTTAATTGGTCATGGATTAGGGCTAGGCAATAACAATTCAATATAGAATTAGGTCTTTCGGGAAGCATCTCCCAAAAAGTTCGCAATTATCCAGTTTCTTGTGGAATGTTCCAGAATTTACTGTGGAGGACTTTATGCGAGTAAAATAGAAGCCATGACCATGCCTTTACTGCGATGACCATGAGGAAGAACGTTTTATAGAGAAGACGAGAAAGATTTCATGAAATAATCTGGTTCTGGTAATGAACCATCCCACAACTGCTGAATCGTTGTCGATGTAAACAATTTCTATTAAATGGGGAAAAACCTAAATTAGCACCAGAAAGCAAACAAACATGGGCTAAAATGGGTTAGGCAAAGAAAACGTTTGAATGAAAACAATTCCCATCCCGTATTTAGCTGTGATGGGCTTAACCACATTTGGGAGGGAAAATTAAATTGCTTTATCAGTGTGGCAGCAAACCCGCATCAAAAGAACATCAGCTATATCAAATAAACCTTTTCATAGTACAAATCCAGAGAGATGTACTTCCCGTGGGTCTAAAAAATATTCAAAAACTCGCTGGATGACTAAATCGAAGCGTTCGCAGAAGGGATCATATTAAAAGCATGTGGGGCAAGATTGGTCCCGCTACGAAATATCTGGGGAGATCGCGAATTTCGACATCAAAAGTCCTATTTTTTGAGACTAAAGGCAAATTCCGATAAAGCTCAGAAGAAGCAGCATTTCAAGATCTCAAGACTGGATACGCCGCGAACTTGTCTTCCTTTCAAAATGATTACACATGAGTGCAATTAGCAATGTAGTAGGCTTGCAAATTTAATAGGTTACTAAATTGTACAACCATTCTGGATTAATAAACTTCTCAAACTGGATCCAAAAGTTCCGAAATAGTTCTCACTGATTGGAAGTTTATCCGATGCATTGTATTTCCAGGTAATGTTATGAATCACACGATATCAGTCACCACGTCCAATCAAAGATTGAAAATAAAAATTCGAATGAAAAGAATTAAAATAAACAAAATTGATTAAACATCAACTATAACAATGATATCAGAGTGTAGGAAAGCTCTCAATCAGATTCAATAAAGTGATTTCATCGATTTCAGCACCGGAATCTTCGCCTGTCCATATAACGATTGAAACAGATCCCTCCAAGGTGAGCAGGAATTGATGATTGTTTATTAGACCTTGTAGCATGTCGTATTTGTCAATATTTTGCTAATGTCTTAAGAGAGCTATGATTACAAGTTCACCATAGTCGACCACAACAAAATGCTGCTCCCCTAGGATACTGATCAGACTTTACTTTTCGGTTCGACTCACATCCGAAATGACAGAGGCGTTTTGAATGCGTATGTGGCCTAAACCTTCTTCCAGTGTCAGCGCTTTTTTCTTCCAGAGTTTGATTCACATACCACACGGAGAGAAACCAATATTACAACTAAAAAAACCAATATTTGATGAATTTGGTCGGATGCCTGTTTCGACAATGTTCTTCCAAGTCCAATTCATTCACTGGAAAGAGCGCATAGGGCAGGATGTCATGTGCTGTCGAAGGGATTAGATTTTCCAGTAGTCGTGAGGGCACTGCTAATACTGATCAAATTATTGGTTTCTGGGTGAAAAGACCTAGAGAAACTTATAAGCCCACGTGGGGCACTGTGGAAATGGCCTTTCTCTGAGTTCTAAGCTATCGAATAGACAGCAACCATTATTTTCTGTGTTACCAGAAGCGGTACATTGTACGCTTTCGGCGTGACCTAAACTTGTAGAACTTTGGACACATTTGGTTCTGACTTCTGACTAAACTCTACTGCTTTAGTCCTTCTACGTGGGCCCATACGACCGTACAAGGATCGATCTCGTTGAGGAATTCCATCCCCTGCAAACTGCCTCAGTAGCTCAAGGTAACTGGCGAGATGGAAAGCAAAAGAAGGAGAACCAAAGTAAATTACATATTTTCAGGTGCACAACTTCAAGAATTAAGAAGAAGAGCTGCAGGAGTGAAATCAGTCAACAATCAACCGACTTTGGTGGAAGCAAGTCCAATGGATTTTGAAATGAATGATCGCGATGCAGTCTCATCTGAGTCCTCTCCAAAACCTCAAAGTTGGTTTACAAATCTCAATTTTGTTTCGAAACTTAATAAGGATATTCTTTGGCGAATGGACCGAAATTTGGGCCGCAAATGGCGCAATAAAAAAGGAAGGCAGAAAATATAGCCGAGATCGCTCCGTCATGGAGTGGAACCACGATTTTTAATTTCTGATGAGAAGGCATTTCCTGAAAATCCTTCCAATTGAAAGCTCTCCAGTACTTCCAAGGCCTCTAGATATAGCTTTTTGCTTGACCATATGATGAGATTTCAAGCGAACCTATGACTTGAACGTCTTTTCCCATAGAAACCCTACTGAGTGATTTGTCTGTTGTGAAGGACGTATAGTGCACGGCGCAATCCAAAAAAAGGTGAGGAGGTGCTAGATAAGAAACGAGAGGATGCTTAGGTATGCGTAGGAACTGACAACACCTCGAGCCTTGAAGGTTTCAAGGTCCTAACTCAAGAATCAAGAAAACCCGGGATCAAGTGCCTCTCACGAGGTTGGTCGGGCTTATGACGTGTGTACATGACAGCTGAATAAGGCTGGGTGGCTGAAGCTTGAATAAGCCGCAGAACGATTGGTATATCGGATTACATGCTGAAGTAGTAGATGCATAGTTTATCCAAATAGAAAGAAAAACATTTCGAATTGAATCACGAAAAATCAACATTCGTCTGTCTGGGAAATATGAATTCTGTGCGTAGTTGCATGAGGAGTAGCTCTTGCAATCTCAAAATTTTCATCTACCTGAAATCGCTGTAGGAACGCGAAGCATTGAAGATTGCGGCCGTTCCGGTCTCGTGGTGGAAGAAGAAGAATGGAAGAAGAACTGAGATATGAGCCCAAAGCACCCCCCCCCCCCCCCCCCCNGATGTACTCTTTAGGAATAGTCTTCGGTGAATGGAGTAACTGGACAGAATGGACGTCATGCATAGCTGGAGAAAGGAGTCGCGTTCGTTCCTGCAATTCAAGACGGCCAGCTCTTCGAATTGTCTGTCATGGACCAGCTAAAGAGGTCAGCTCGTATTTGGTGTCAATTTTGAATTTCTAGGACACTTAAAGGCTGAATTCGAGATGAATGAACCCTTTGACAACAATGGCACCCACCGGTGGGTGCCACTATGACTGGCACATGGGACATTGGCACCCAATTTTGGGAGCCACCATACTTTCTTGTTTCTTACCAGTTGATCAGTTCAGTAAGCCACTGAAAGAACTTTCTTCTGGGACAGTGCCACCCACCGGTGGTTGCCAGTCGCGTGCGCTAGGAGGTGATCGTGGTCCCATGGGCGCGTCACGTCAAAATCCCCATTGTCGTCAAAGGGTCAAGCGAAAACATTCGCCCAGGAGTAGATAAGCAGAGTCAAGCAGCATACATGGTTGACACACGACATGACCAAGTAGTTTTCAAATCAGCAAAAGCAGTTTTTAACTAGATTTCGTGGACAACCCTTGAAAAATTCCAAGTGTTTGAGGTTCTTGAAGAATGCGCAGTATAAACAACCTAAAACTCGAGTGATGCCCAAAAAGGGAAAAACTGCAGCATCACTTGGGTAAGGTGGTCGCGTAATAGTATTCTTTCATAAAATTAGGTAACAATTATTAGTAAAAGCAAGGAGTTTCCGGTAGTACTAAGTAACAACTCTTTATAAATAAATAAAATTCGTGTACTTTGAAAATAACTAGTTCAGGTCCAAAGGTGCTTCTCCATGATCGAAACCCACATTCCGGTCGCTGAAGATCCATGGTCAATCGAACGTGAAATCAGTGGCAATTTCAAGGCCTGAACAGTGCCGACCGGCCATGGGCCTAATGCAATACCTATGTACCCGACTAATCAATATGTGCTTTATGTTCTTTATTTTGTAGCGATTTATAAATGTTATCAATCAAGAGGGGACCAGCTGTTGCCTTCAATTCAAGGAATTGGTTGTACATATAAGGGGTAGCTCACAGCAAAGGAAGAAGTATGCTCTGTTCATTCGGTCCATTAAACCAAATGCACGCTGGTTTTTTGCGGTTCGCATTAAGCGCCATGAATCCCCATCATCTGTTGAAAAAAACTCGCTGTATATCAAGGCCTGAATGTTTATTCTGAAGAAAACAGCTTGGAAGCCTCCGCCATTTGAAACCAAGACGAAGAAGCATCGTGTGTCAGTCCTGCAAGCAAGGTGCTGCTTGATCAATTCATTCAAAGGCACAGCTCGCGATAAAAATGGTTTCTGAGATCTCCCTAGAGAGTAAACTATCTCCCTCTAATACCATACCTGCCGTTATAAGGTCGAAAAACGTCCTGGATAGAGCACAATAAGAGG